TGCACGATGGAGGGCGGTGGAGGGAGAAAGAGCCGATAGATGACCGGTCTTTGGGTCTCCGAAGGGAGGCTCTTGGGGATGAGCATCCGGATACGATCAGTAGCATGTCGTCGCTCGCGGCGACATATCACGAGCAAGGAAGATACAGCGAGGCCGAGCCAATGAGGACTAACGTGTTAAAACTCCGACAGGTGGTTCTGGGGAAGAGGCACCAAGATACTGCTAAGAGCATGGCAGATCTCGCAGATACGTATCACGAGCAGGGCAAGTACTTCGATGCTGAGAATATCTACCAAGAAGCACTAGATCTCCAACGAGAAATACTCGGGGAGAAGCATCCGGATACGATCAGGAGCATGGCAGACCTCGCAGCGACGTACCATGCGCAGGGCCGATATAAGGAAGCTCAAGAGCTTGTAATCGAAGCACTAGAACTCCGACGAGAGGTGCTCGGGGAGAAGCATCCGGATACGATCAGGAGCATGGCAGACCTCGCAGCGACGTACCATGATCAGGGCCGATATAAGGAGGCTGAGAATATCTACCGAGAAGCACTAGATCTCCGACGAGAGGTGCTCGGGGAGAAGCATCCGGATACGATCAGGAGTATGGAGCATCTTATCTTTACCCAAAAGGCCCTACAACACGTGTCACGTCTCTCACAAGCCAAATCTAAGACAGTGCTGCTTGGATCCTTTTTTTAAAGGATTTAGGTAAGACAACTGACAAGTTTCGTAAGTCGAGGTTCTCACAATCAGAGGACGCACCTTGATGAGTGTTCCGTTTCCACCTACTCGTCTTTACTTAGATCAATTGGACTCGCTGCAGTAGATAGGCAACAAGTAACCTGCTCTGCACTGTACTGTGGCTCTTTTTAATGACGCATAAATATTCCTACCGAAAATTATGGCTTTGGGTGAAAAGTGGAAGTCGTGATAATTTACAATGACATTCCGGAGCAAATGACCTCTAGATAATTTAAAATGTCCTCCGTAGAGGGTACGTAGATGCTGTTGGTGCTAGCTGACAATAGGGGGTATACCGGCTTCAGATGTCTACTGTGCATGCGCCACATCTAAGCCCCTTTCGGACATTGCAGAGGAAACTTCTATACCAGATTACTGACGCTGAACCCGCACCCCACTGTACTGATTACCTTTTGCTCTTACAACTCCTCCTCTGCAAGAAAATCGGCCTCTGAGATAGCATGACTTCGCGGAACAATGCATACCACCTGATATTGGGACATTTCGTGTTCTGCAATTGCTCGACCTTCCTGGTGATAGAAGTCGATTTCCCCAAGCTGACTCTTGACATCGCCGATTGCGCGAGACATTGACCCTCGGCGACAAAATCTGGCCCTCCATCCAGTTCCATCGTGTTGCAAAATTTGCATTTCAGCGTCCTGGCCAAACGGGACAATCATATCCAGTACCGATGGGGAGAACCTGACACTTCCCTCACTAAGTTGTTGAGGTGTGTCTGTGCCTCTTCGTTGTAGTTGCTTTTGGACCATGGGCGATTGTTCAGGTCTTGTTTGTGGCTGAAATGCCAACTGCTGTTGGTTCAGTAGGCTCTGGACTGCCCGTTGCCGTCGTGACCTTTGACTAGCTCTTTGGCCTCTCATTCTACCTGTTCTTTGGTTCCTGGCTGGCTGCCTTTTTTGTAATTGGCTCCTATTTCCTGCAGAAGGCTTTCTCTGGGCTTTCTGACGCGAAGACTGCCTCACATCGGACTGTATACTTTCGTTATTGACTCCAGTCATGGTCTCGTCATGCATCTCAAGATCGGCAGATGCCTCCGAGGAGTCGAGCGAATCACATCTTGCGGAAGGCGAGAATGAGTCTATAGGTTGAAGCATGAATTCATCTCCATCCTGGTCCTCGTCAAGTCTCCAAAACGCATGAAAAACGGATTTGCGGACAAACAGAGATGTTATGTCCTTGCTATTCGCCGTGGGGCGAGAAAACTGAGCCAGATCAAACGACCATCGGTCACGATTATAAGCCCCGGAGTATTGACGTCCACAACGACGTGTGATCGGCTCCCCGATCCCGATGGTTGTAAACGTCGATTGGCTGTCTTCAAATACTCGAGCGCTCGCCTTGTCAAACTCATAGACTATGCGATTCAAAATGTCTTGCAGTTCCGACTGGTTGTATTCGTACAATGAAGATGGCCTTGCATCATGCAAAGCTTTCAAAGCGACCTGCTCATCTGGGTTTTCGGACGCGAGACGTTTGATTTCATCGGACTCAAAACCAAGAAGACGCGCCTCTTTTGCCAACCGGTGCCAATTCTCAGGGTGACGGAAACACACCTCAGGCGACTCTTCGCCGTCTTCCAACAGAGGCCACTCACCAGTCAGCTCAACCAAGTCGCGCATGATATATATATATAAGCGCTTCAATCTTATGGAAGCGCGACTTGGCAAAGCGTCTATAGTCATGCCGTACGAAGCTGTGCGAATAGATCAATCTGCGTGATAGGCCCCCCCCCTTCTCCACAGTATCAAACAGGCTGAAAATCAAGATCTTGTAACTCGAACCCCTTCGAAAGGAATCCGCGGAGAGAGAGGCGGACCTCGTCACGCAACGCTCCCTTGGCCGAGACTAAACGCTGTTAGCAAAGCCACTATGCAGGGCCGAGGATCAGAATTGACTCGCCAACTACCAGAGTCCGCTCGTTGTTACCCGTGCCATGATTCCTCATACCGGTTCGGGATGTGTCTAGCGCCGAGCTTTCTTGCACCGCGTCGGTGGTCGTCCGGCCCTCTGTCACCTGCTGTTCTCTTAAATTCGCTTCCGCGCTGAGGATCTCCCAGACGTTAGGCACCCCTGGGTGGATCGTGAAGCGTCCGTGGCTCGAGGTCTCTGTTTCCATTTCAATACCGTTGTAAATAGACACGTGGAAGATCTGCTCGCAAGGTATCTGTCAGCTGCTTTCCTCTGATACATGGTCAACGTACGTAGCTTTCTCCTGCGCCGTCTGTGTGGAATAGATCATTGATGGTCGGCGTGACAGCCTGCCGTGCGTCTACAGTAGTCAGCGAGGCACCCAACGTCACAGCACGCCTTATACCAATATTGTTGACATGCCATAGTACGTGGACGCGCCTTGTCTTGCGCTGGCCCCGCGCTCGTCCATGCACGAGCTTTTGGAGGTGTGGAAGAGCGGCCGTAATGCCAAAATCCTGCACGAAGAAGAGAACATGTTCAAAGTCCCAGACCCGCAGGCTTGAGCCATGAGGGCCACTGAACAGCATCCTCGACTGGACGGACATGTCTCTGTGTAGCTCGGCCCGGTCGTGGAGGCGGCTAGTGAACCCTTGCCGGCGCTGGATGAACAGCTCGAACCGCCGGACTGGGTATGGCGACCAGGATGTGATGGTGAATGGGTGGCTGGAGAATAGGGATACCGAAGGAACCCAGATATTGACGTACTGGCCCGCGTCGATGACCAGCGGCCTGGACACCGTGATCGCTGCCTTCACGGTGCCGTGACTGCTCGTGACGACGATACGTGGCAGTGGTAGCCCTAGCTGCTTGTTATAGAGGATAGTGCGTCCCAATTGAAACAACGTGAGCGCGCTGACGAGGCCCCCATACGCATACAAGAACGGCCACCAAGACCATGCTATCGCCAGTAGGTGCATGATCGTACACGCCGCCACGCCGCCAGCCAGTGCTTGGTGCAGCCGTAGGAAAAGCTCGTAGTACCACCGGCGTAGGATAGGACCGATCAATGTTAACAGGAGCAGAAGACCGGCGGCCTACAATGCGTGCTCGTCAACCGTAGTCCGTCCAAATTCCACCAGGTCACTAACCGTTACCGGATACACATCAACTGAGTTGTTCCTTTCCATGGAGACGCCGCGCGCTATGACAACAATGCTATGCAAAACGACATGCGCTGTGGTCATGAGACCGCAGGCCCGATGGACAAGCAAAAATGTCCTCAGTCGGAGGCCGAAAAGGTCAGCCAAGAAGCTCAGATGCAAAGAAAGAAGAAGTGGCGCCGCGTTCACGAGAGCGAGCTGTCCTGCTCGCGACATATATAAGCTTGTCGACTGGGCCCCAACGCAGAGGCCTGCGACGTTGCTTGCGACGTACACCACGTGCGTCAGGGTGAAACACACCGTCCACGGCCCTATGTGAGAATGACGACCGATGGTGAATCGATGAAAGACGAGCTTCCGGATCTGCAAGAGCAGGAGTCCAAGACCGCGACGCAGAAGAGGCAGGATGCAACTAATAACAAAGAGTGATGTGAAGAACAGACCGGTACAGATTGCGTAGAACGCCGGTGGGCTGACATTGTCGATCATATTCTCCCCTCCTCTCCGTGGTGGTCGACAAAGAGGGCACGTCACAAAGTTCTATCAAGACCTATCTTAAGGAGGAAGCTCTGCAGTCGAAACTGGACTGCGCCAGCCACTTCCAGGCAAAGCCCCACATCTCGACAGGAAGTGGTTTCACGGCCCCATGGTAAGTATCTATATACGATCGAATGTCTGCGCTTCGGTCGTTGCATGGTGGCAGAAGAGGAGCATCTCCAATGCACGCGTTACGTGATCAAGCTATACGCAATGCCGAGGTCTACTATAGACTGCGGCTCGAGGACAGGGAAGACGAGGGACGCGCGCTTGCGGCATGGCAGAACCAGAAAAACAGTCTGTCATCCGACCACGCACGGCGCTGTGTCCGCGGTCTGCTGAAGAATACCCTTTTGAAGGAGGCTCTCGACCCTCTCCTTGATATACCCGGTATGCGGTCGGGGCTACTTATCAGTACCATACACAAGCTTTTAACAGCCAAGGCTGATGAGGTACCTTGCCCGCCCTTCTGAGTGGCGTCCGCCCCGACTAAGCTGTACGCAGGAAGCCAAGGCGTATTTGGACCATACACATGCCCTCTGGGTACGAATAGCCGGAAGCAAGGAGGCCACAGCCAAACTCGAGCCCGACGACGTGCAGGCTCTGCACTTGCGCTGTCCGCGGTTCTGCACGAGCGATGCGGCCTTGATCAACAAACAGATGGAGCAGGGCACAATCTTCCGCGCCTTCACTCCAAACGAGCGGAGCGCCGCACTCGCGGAGATTCTCAGCATCGAGACGATTATAACATCTCTACAGACCTTCTCCCAGGACATCCACGTCCTCCAAGTCTGCGCCGCCAGCATGCGCCATATCGTGACGCCGCGAGGCCAGACGATTCGTCAGGCGTTGCTGGCCTGTTACAGGCCAGTAGAACGCGCACAAGAGAGCAATGACACGGCCTCCGCAGCTAGCATTGCCATCCAGGAACTATGGGTATTTGTGCTCGGCAATCTCCAGGGCATGGCGAACCCTACATCAGCATCGAACAAGAGACTCGCAGGACCCATCACCGAAGCTTCGCACGATGTTCTAGTACAGGCGGCGGAGTATGCGCAGCAGCTGGGTTTTCGGTCCACGGAGATAGAGAGACTTGTGCATGCGACGGAGAGAGGGTCCAGCGACATTGCCGATCCGAAGCGCTGTCACAGAACAGACACGGTGCCGGCCTTACACAAGGACGCCCTGGCCAGCCTCGTGGTCAAACATACCGCTGAGCGTCTGTCCAGAAGGTGCGGCCGTCCAAAGAAAGACGGCTACCAGCTTGACCGGAGGCTGCTCACTCGCGGCAACCTGCAGGCTGACCTGGGATCGCTCGACGTGCGTGGGCCGGAACTCACATCTTTCTTCGTGCTGCGGTGTCAGTACAATGCCTTCTTCGGCTTAGAGCATGAAGCGTCGAGACAATGGAGTCCTCTCCCCAATGCGGCCGAAGAGCGTCTATCAAAGCCGACAAGAACGTGCTCTCCGCCTATAGAGCGCTTGACACTCGAGCAAAGCATTCAAAACTTCAGGAAACAAAGTGTAGAGTCCGTACGGGCGGGGCTTTCTCCCATCACCGAGTCCAGCAGCGTCGCCTCTTCTAGGGACAGCATCGCGCCTGGCCGTGCCCAGGCAAGCCCATCACCGGAGCCTATCCGTGTTCTGTTCCGTGCGTACTCGGACGGGAGGTTCCATACAATCAAGCAGGTTGACGCTGGCGACCCTACGGCTGTGCTGAAGGTGGGTCGTGAGTTGACAAACCAGAAAATGATGCTTCTATCCGTCGATCTAGGTTTCATTAGCCCCGAGCAATGTTTCGAGAACGCTCTGGTCTCCGATCTACACACAATATTCACGCTGCCGGCCAACGATTTGAAGATTACGCCTGAGTTAGAGAAAGCAGTGCAGCAGTTGAGAATCGATGCAACGCGAAGGCGCAGATGAAGCGGTACGGCCAGACACACCGCGATGGGGGAGCATGGGAGCGTTGAGCAGCGGTCGCCGCCGGTAAGACGTGTACCAGCATGAAATTCCATCCAGAATGACGCCACTCAGTCACGATGACGAATTTGTCGTCTGCGCACCGTAGATTGTAGCTAATATAACATTCCGTCCCAGTCTAGCGTCCAGCTTTAGCATGCAAGGGACGCTTCGCCATCCAATGGTGCATCTACCTGAGATTTCTTCCTGCAGAATGTCGCCAACCTCCTTATAAACCCTGCTGCTAGATAGAAAGAGAGCAAGTTTCAACCCCGAAGGAGTTCTTGTAATGTGACTTTGCTACATGACGCCCAGCACACGCGACAATGCCTATGCATCAAGCGCGGGAAGTATGCGAAAGGCTACTCACACCCAGCTGATCCTCCTACGTGGTAGGAGCCACGGGGGAGCGATGTCGTTCACTCCTCTCCACTCATTCACGCCAAGAAGAGCATCTAGAGTAGTTCTCAGCCCAGTAGCCGAGCTTACGTGCTATCTACAAGGCCTCTCCTTTCTGTTGAGTGGAGGATGTGCTGCACGAAGAGTCAGCGCACTTGGCCCATGAATTCCTCTCTCTCACAATAGAGAATCTAGATGAGCGGAGACCTGGAACGGCCACTAGATGAGCACGTCGCCTGGATAGTATGGTCCGTAGTTATGCCCTTGCCACTGTTACACTGGACGACGGCCGCTACAGACCGATTATGTATGGGGCTGTGATCTCATTCCGGGAGAGCCACTTCTGGCTGGTCTCCGCCCGAAATCAAACAACGTCCGTCGATGAGTCATGCATGGGAAGACACAGGCTGTTTCAGAGGTGAGTGAGCGTTAGATCTTCCCGTAGAGCGACCATAGCTCCGTGCCCATAAGCCCGGCTAACTACAACCACAATAGGCTTTTCTCTCCCGAGGGCACACGTAGATCGGTACGGGCCGCTTTCCACCACCGACGTGCGAAATCGGGACAGGCCGTGCATAATTATTTAAACACATCGCCCGAGCATAGATTGACGCTTTTCGAGGTACAGCGAGACACGACGTGATATGAGTGTCACGAGTGAATGGGCCGGTAGCGACGCCGAAGGCACTGACCTATCTGGTGAGGAGCCTGTTCCTAAGAAGAACCACCTAACGTGCCCTAGGCAGTAGTCAGCGAAGTGTGGACTCGCAAAGCACCAATAGCCTCGTCGACTTCATTAACGACGGCGATGCCCTGGGCGAGACGCAGCCCCTCGACTCTTCCGAGGACGACAGCCTGTATAGAGGCCGGGCGCGGCAGAAGACAGGCTCCAACAGGTATCCACTGGAACAGTTAAAAATAGCCATCTACCGAAGCCTCGAGCTGCAGGACACGATTATACGATTATCGAAGGCCTGCAGATTCGACGCAGCGGACCACCCGTGTGGATACATGGATTCCATTTCCGCCATAAGCTTTGCAGTAAAGAGATTGCTCCGTGTTCAGAACAGCATGATTCTTGGTATTGAGAAAGCCGCTGGTCGGAGAGAGAAATACTTTGGCCCGGAATCGGGGGGTGGGGCACCTATCTTGGACAATAGAGACGGACAGGACGACGGCGACTAGCGTCGGTGAGCACCATGCACCCGCCGTTTCCGGCTGCAGATGCGAAGAGAATAGACATACAACTTCATTGGCTGCTCAAAGACGCCTTAGGGAAGAAGCAGTGGTGCAAATGACGCGGAGGGCCATGTCCTGTTTCCACTGCTGCTCGCCGTGTTTGCCTCGCCTCGGGCGGGACAGCTCTGCAAGCAGCCGGCCGTCGTACGGACCCCCGCCGCGCCGAACCCGAAGAAGCAACGTATGGGGTTTGGTTACGCGAGGCCAGGGGTGGATTCGGGGAAGTACTGCTTTACCACGCCAGTGCGTGTTGGGTTGGTGGCATATGTGATCACCGTGGTTGAGATGGCTCGTCCAGGTAGCCTGCGCGGGTGGCATTCAGATACCATGGGTCGTTGCATGAGTTGATTCGCGTGTTGTACTACGTGACAGCTATCAGTGCCGTTGAGAGTAATGTGTTGAGGGGACGGGGCTTCGTGGGGAGACCGTGCAGTGAGATGACGATGGCGAGTTACGGAGACGCACGGCACAATGCTGGCGCCGACGTGCATACAAAATATAACTCTATTCCGCTACGGAAGCACAGGATTCCAGGCTATCTGCGACCTGCTGATCACATCTGTGTAACGAAGGCGTTCTCGTGTTGCGTGTACCAGCAAAATAACATCAAGTGATGTAGGCCGCCGTTGCAAACAATGCATGGCCCAAGGGGCCACACTTCGCGCTGCGCAAAGTCAGGGGCGAAGACATGGGGCAGCCTGTGGCCACCACCACCATTCCACCGAATGTGTACATAAGGCCGCCTTTGGCCCATTCCGTCTGTCCCGTTCTGCTTCACCTTTTCCACTCGCCTCAATCCACTACATACCCCAT